TATTGCAAATATTAATAAACACTATTCATTTATTTGCTCTAACAATATGGTTCCCAGTTGTCAGTGTAAATGATACTGAATATGAAAGCTGTCGAAATAAAGCGACAAATGAAATCTATAAACAAGTCACATATTCCTTCGNCAATTTATTGCAAATATTAATAAACACTATTCATTTATTTGCTCTAACAATATAGTTCCCAGTTATCAGTGTAAATGATACCGAATATGAAAGCTGTCGAAATAAAGTGACAAATGAAATCTATAAACAAGTCACATATTCCTTCGACAAATCGTTTCATCCTTCCATGACTAGACCTTTCTTTTTCATACATCCAAGCATGATAAATACAGCAGAAGGCATTGAGTGAAATAAAAGAGGAGAATAAATTGTCAAAAGTTTATTTGATAGACTATAAGTTATTACTGACATAACAAAATGAATTATACATGAGCAGAAAACATCTAAAAAACGATTGAAATGACTGTTCAAGACGGTCAAATCGAGCACGATTCATCAAACTCGAACACCACCTTTCTTGGCTAAATTCTCGATAATAGTCGAGACTTTTTCACGCGGCATGTTTTCCAACGATTCGCTTAACTCAACGCCATAGTCGTACCTGAATTATAAACGATTACATCAGATATTAAGGCACACAAGTTTTCCTTACTGGGGAAGAAATCATATTCCAGACGGCTCTAGAAACGAGATCAGGCTCGATGTTACCAGTAAGATTCAGCCTGAAACACCGTCTGGGGATAAATTCATGCACAATTGGTCCGTGCAAGCAACTGAACCAGATGACAGTACTTTGATCATTCTGGAATGGTGTGAGATTCTGATTTGAGCATGAACAACTGATAATGAGGCTACCTGGCCCATATTCTCGGTAAGATGCCAGAGCATTCGCGGATCAGAATCGGAAAATCCTTGTTGGCTTTCTTCAGCGGTACATAATCTTGTTCAATGAACTGTCTCACACCCGCGCTTGCCGGTGACTTCTGACACAAATGAATACGCAATTCACGAAGCGCACCGGCGCCCAGCTTCAGAGCTGATGCCATCCTGTTCTCTTTCCCTCGAATTACTGAGGCATTTATTTAAACGTTCTCGAGGAATATTCAATTACGAAAGCACAATTCAAACGTTAAAAGATAAATCAGAACATCAGTCAACAATGACTTGCCAACCTCCCCCATTCTCCCGGAAATCTTCGAAGTAACCGTAGAGATGTTAACCTCCCTTATGAGAACCACTGAGTGGGATTCATGTAGGTTAT